CCGTAATTGCTTTCCTGCCACAACTCTTTTAAGCAGAGAGCTCCTGGCCAAAGCAATTTGTTCCCCATCAATTTTTATTTCCTGCTTTGTGCATGTGAGGGAGGGAAAACAAAGAGGGCGAAGGAGAACAAACAGAGCTGGGACCTGCTCTGGTTCTGAGGGAAAGGTGGGAAGGGTTTGGCTCTTCAGCCAGGCAGGACACGGCTGCTGGTCATCATTCCAACGCGCTCTGCTCATCCCTGCAACCAACTTCCAGGTGCTCATCCCTGCCTGACAATTTTGGGGGGAGGACTGCCGTGTCCCAGGGGCTCCGTGGGGGATCTGAGCCACCTCCCAAGGGCTCTTCTTGGTTCTTTAAGCGCTTGCCCACTCCTCCTGCCGTGCTCCCTGAAGCTGCTGCTGGTAGAGTTAATCTCCGGCAGTTTAAGGAGTCGCTGAGTGGGTCTGGCGGATGATGAATGTCTAAACCATTACGGGGTGAAGCTCCATGGAGCTGTTTAAAACTGAATTCTCCCATGTAAATTTCTGCTCCATCAATCCTGATGACATGTCAAACATTGCTATTGTTTCCCCGAACAAATTGGACGACATGCCCTTTCCTGCAGATTTGCCCACGAGAGCAGAACCGCTCGCCAGCTCCTCGCTTTTGTCTCCATCTCTGCTGGCCTGCGGGTGGGGAAGGGTGGATGTGATGGCCCTTGGTGGGACAAAAGGAGACATCCCAAATATTTTGTGCTTGAGGGATGCGGATGGACAGAGACAGGCCATGGGTATTTTTGTGTGATTCATGTGCTGGGTGCCCACACCATGCTGCAGCTCAGTAAATTAATCCTTTGGGTTATCCAGGCTTCCTCTCCTTGCCACTCTCCCTGAGTTTAGCTGCACAAATGTGGGATTTTTTAGAAATGGTCTGCACTGGTGACAGCTCATAAAAGTACAGATGTGGACCCGCGTTTTCATCCTGCCCTTTTGCAGGCTCCAGTGGGCAAATCCCGCTTTAATATTCCAGGCAGGAAAGGAGAGCCGTAAAAGCCATTTGATTGCTTCTCCAGGTGGAACCCCCAGGAACTTCCAGCCAGATGCCTTTCCTCCCCGGGCTGTGGGAATGGATTCTTGCATGCTGGAGGGGGGAAACGAGTCAGTGATTGGGAAAAGCCACAGGAAAACAGCTGGGATTGCTGACAGCTCGGTGGGATTTGGGGTGTTCTGCAGGCTCCGCGTGCTCTCTCGGAACCCTGGGCATCGCTCTGCAATGGGAGTGTGTGTTGCCTCCCCAGGGGCTTGAGCAGCTGAGCATCCTTTTCACCCTTAGAGGGGAAAAAGCTTGGTAATGCAGAAACAGGTGAAGATCCCAAATTAAATATGCTGAGCGCGCTTGGTTTGGCTTTTTTTTTTTTTTTTTTTAGCATGTTCCCTGTCACGCTCGACTAACCTGCTCCATTGCCCAGCATCATCTCCACGACGTTCAGTTGCCAGGAAAGGCATCCAGCCAGCCTCACCTTCCACCTCCCTGATGTAAATCAGGGACATTAATTAGCTCGGCTGGAGAGGAGGTGGATGGGGCAGAGTCAGGCTGCCCGTCCTCCTGGCTCCTCGGGAGAGGGGCTTTTTGCCTCGCTGGCACTTCTGTTGTCATCACAGCTTGTGGTCCAGCCACCCTCCTGGCTCCCCTCTCTCCAGGGCTCCCAATTCCCTCCTCACTAACCTTCTTTTGACCTTCCTCCTTCCCTATCTTTTTTTTCTTTTTTTTTTTTTTCCCCTCGTCAGAAGAAAATTACACTTTCCCCAGTGTTGTCTGTCACCGCAATAAGCACTTACGAGTGCAATTGTTTGGGGCCAAATGAAGGGAATTCGTTTTGCCCGTGCTTTCTGGTACTGTCAGACCCCCTGTAAATCATTATCTCATCACCAGCCCATCCAGGTGCATGGAAAATGCTTTTCTGGGCTCTGCTCTCACACCAGCCACTTAGGAATTAATGGAACCGAGGGATTCACAGCAGTTGCAGGGCACAGAAGTAACGGGTAGGAAAAATCCTGGATGGAGGTGGCAATGCTGAGGCTGCTCGAAGCGCTCAAGGATTCTGGGGAGAGAGGACCCAAAAAAGGGGCTGTTGGCAGGTGTTAGGATGGGGGATTAACCCCAGAATGAGTTGGCTGAGGGCTGCTGGTGTGGGCAGATGGTGTGGGTTGACCCTCCCCTTCTCTCCAAGTGTTTCCACACGGAAGAGTTGCCGCGCTCTGCCTGGGATGCAGCACATCCATGGATGTCTTCTGGGGGGGAAGATGGACCCCAGAGGGACCTGTCCCCCAAAAGCTGGTGCTGCTCTCTCTCTGGGCATCTCTCCAGGCAGATTTCCACAGATCTGTTCTGCTTTACTGAACACAATTCCAAACAGAAAGGAATTCGCATCGTAGCGATGAAGAGGAAAATCAGCAAAACCAGTCAGTCTGGAAGGCTGGATCCACCAGAGCACCCTTTTGGCCTGCAACAAGCAGCACGAGTTCACTTCTCAGCCTGGGAAAACGTCTGGGGAGGAAAAACTTAAGTAATCCTGTCTGGTTTTCATGCCTTTGGCTCGCCGTCACCCCATGGTGCGGCAGGGGAGCAGCACATGGGGGTAAAGCTGTGCTCAAGCTCCCACTCTGCTGTCAAGGGTAATCAAGGCCATCGATAAATCAGGAAGGTTTCAGGAGCAGGCTGTGTTCCATGCCACTCCTAAAATACAGCCTTTTCCTGCTATCTGGACGTGAAATGTGTCTTTGACCCTGCTTCTTCACAGTCCTGTTGGTCTCTAAGTAATCCAGACAGGACTCAATTTAGAAAATATACTGGGGGAGAAAAAGGATATTTTGGGGGCTGCATTTCGCTTTCCTCACCTAAAAATAAAATCTTCTGCTCCTTTTTTCTGCCACCACTCATGCATATTTCATATATTCATTAGAGCAGAGACTTTAAAACACAAATAAATCTTGCTTTGCTCATCCAGAGCTGACACAGTGAGTTGTGAACACCTTCGCCAGAAGGTGCTGGTCGTTTAGCCGTGACCAGCCTGCTCCAGCTTGTGTAGCTGTAGGTGCATCCCACAGCATCCTCGGCCACTCAGTCCGTGAGAATGCAGCAGATTGCACCCCCAGAAGGGCTGTCCTTGTGGAAAGCAAGACCAAAATCACTCTTCCTTGCTTTTCTGGATCTGTATTTTAGCCTAGGGGTTGCATTCTGAAGTGCGATAGGTTTTTATTCCCCTACTCTTGTCGTGGTTTGGCACTGGCCAAATGCCAGGCACCCACGAAAACCACTCACTCACCCTCCCCTGACACAGATGGGCAGAGGAGAGGAAAAAACCAATGAACAAAGGATTCATGAGTTGAGATAAGAGACTGCAAGAAAGCACTCCAAGGGCAGGTACAGAGTGAGTTTATTACTAACAAAATCAGGGGAGGATAATGAGAAGTAAAATAAGCCCTTAAAAAAACACCTTTTCTTCCCCCTAACCCCATCCTCCTTCCCACCGACAGCGCAGGGGACAGGATGTGGGGATTTTGGTCAGTTCACCAGCCAAGGTTTTTTTTCTACTTGGCTCAGGGAGAAGAGTCCTTCCCCTGTGAGACCGTGGGGTCCCTTCCACAGGAGACAGCTCTCCATGAACTTCTCCAGCATGGGTCCAAATGTCACAAGCAGCAGTCCTCCCAAAACTGCTGTGGCGTGGGTCTCTCTTCCATGGGGTGCAGCCCTCTGAGGACAGGCTGCTCCAGCCTGGGAGCTTCTCTCCACGGGGTCTTCCAGTGGATCACAGCCTCCTCCAGCTGCTTTTCTTCTTAAATCTGTTATCCCAGAGGCATTACCAACATCTCTGATTGACCCAGGCTTGGCCAGCAGCATGTCCATCTCCAGAGCCATTCAGAGACTGGCTCTGCCAGACATGGTAGAAGCTTCCAGCAGCTTCTCACAGAAGCCACCTCTGTGCCCCCCTGCTACAAAAACCCAGGCCAACACAACTCTAGAACACACAGGGAAGGACACGAGCTGCGGCTGTCCCAGCTTTCTGCCTTCACAGGGACAGGAAAGGTGGCCCTCAGGAATTATCCAAGGAGTCTTTTATTTCAGGTGTGCTTCCCAGATTAGCTTAGTGTGTCAGGGAAAGCAAGTGGGTGCAACGTTTCCCACTGCCAAAGGTTTTGGGAGCGAAGCTGAGGAATGTTGGTGGAGAGCAGTGAGCTAGAGCAGGCTGGAAGTCAGGGATGAGCAGGGGAGTGCAAACAGCCCCTGCCCTGAGGCTCTTGGGGGACAAATGGCAGCACACCAGGTCTGCAGTGCTGTGTTCAGTGTGACATTTCCATAAACACCTTAGTTTATTGATTAAATTTTACGTTTTCCAGGCAACTGACAATGATGTGGGCTCATATGGAAAAGTCAGTTATTTCTTCAGCGATGACCCTGACCGGTAAGTGTGACCGACTGGCCAGAATTTGTTCCTCCAAAATCCTCTTCTAACCTCACTAGGCAGTCACAGGGCGATTAAAGGCACTGGTTGTGTCCTGCCTGTGAGATGTCCTATGATGTCCCTGTGTGTGTGCTGTCTCCCAGAGATGTGAGTTCAGCACACACCTGATGCTCAGCATGTTTAATTGCTTTGCTAAGTTGGGACCTGCGGGCGCCAGTAAATGGTTTCGCAGTGAGTTGTCAGCCCTGGAGCAGCACCTGTGGTGGAAAGTTGGGGAACACACATGGGCTGCCCAGTAGAACAGACCTGGGGGCCTCTGCACCCGTTTTCTCTGCCTGTGGAGCAGCACTGAGGGTTTCTCACTGCTCAGCAGTGTGGAGCTCTGGAAGGTGTTCTGGGACCTAACATCCTGTGGGGAAAAAGTCATGAACTTCACACTGCCAGGCTGCTGCCTCTCCATCTCCTGTGTGTGGTCACCGAGGCTTTTTCCCCTTCCTTTGCTGTCCCCTCAGTTTCTCCCTGGACAAGGACACGGGTGTGATCATCCTGACAGCTCGGCTGGACTTTGAGACCATGCAGCGCTACACCCTGACCGTCATCGCCCGGGACGGCGGCGGGGAGGAGACGACGGGGCGCGTCAGGATCAATGTCCTCGATGTCAATGACAATGTCCCCACCTTCCAGAAGGAGGCTTACCTGGGGGCTCTGCGGGAGAACGAGCCCTCTGTCACCCAGGTGGTCCGGCTCCGGGTGAGGGACTGCCATGGCTCCTCCGCTTGGGATGTGCAGTAGGAGTGGGTTAGGATCACGGGATGGTTTGGGTTGGAAGGGATCTTAGAGCTCAGACAGTTCCAACCCCCTGCCATGGCCAGGAACGTCTTCCACAAGCCCCATTCAGCCTGGCCTTGAACACTTCCAGGGATGGGGCAGTCACAGTTCCTCTGGGCACCTCATGCCAAGGCCCCACCACCCTCACAGGGGAGAATATCTACCTAATATCTAATCTAAACCTCCCTCTGTCAGTTTAAAATGACCAGTGATGGGTTTAACAAACACCTTCCCAAGCAGATCCCAACATCCAGTTTCTTTCTTGCATCAGAGAAGCAGGCGAGAGGAGTCTGGTTTACAGATCCCTTCAGGGCCCCTGATGGACACAGCTCCCTCCATCACTTTTCCAGTCTCCTCGGGCCCAGCCTGCACCTCCCATCCCCTCAGCTCTCCCTGGCACAGCTCCCATGCCCATGGATTCCCTCTGCTCACACCCTTAGGCATCTGATGAGGACTCCCCTCCAAACAACCAGATCTCCTACAGCATCGTGCAGGCCTCTGCCTTCCGCGACTACTTCGACATCACGGTGTCAGAAGGGTATGGAGGTAGGTGCTGCTCCTGGCACCCCTGAGCGTGCCCACCTCCTGCTCGGTGTACAGCTGCTCCCCTGACCCCCCCCTCACTGTGCATCCTTCCAGTGATCAGCGTGAACCACCCCCTGGACTACGAGCAGCTGGCCAACGGGGTCATCTACCTGACGGTGATGGCCAAGGACGCCGGCAACCCGCCGCTCAACAGCACCGTCCCTGTCACCATCGAGGTGTTTGTAAGTGCCAGCGCCCGCCATTCCCCGTGTGCTTTCCCTGCAATCGCTCCGCAGCACCGCTAATATAGTTCACCAATAACCTGTCGCTCCACCTCGGTCTTTTCAGGGCCAAGTTCCTCTGGGATAGTCCCTCATGGGGAGTTTCTCTTATCCGGGTTCTGTGTCAGGAAGGATACTCCAAAGGCTCGTTAGGCTCTTGTTCCTCATGTTTATTAATATATTATCAAAAGATTTGGCAGGTCTTCCCCAGACTTTCTGCTCAAGTTCAACCCACCGTCACCTGGATCAAATTGGCTCAAAAGGCACAAAATGGCCTTGAAATATGCAGCTTTTTTATCTTTACACTTATTTTCACCCATTTAAATATAGACACGTAAATTATTTTTCTTAGTGACCCAACACCTGTGTGCTGCACTGTGGCAGTCTCTATCCAATCACTTTACTACTACTCAAAAACCTCTAGAAGAAGAATATGAAGAAGAAAGAAGGACAAGAGACAACACCCTAAATCCTCCATCTTGACTTTTGTTCTCTAAACTAGTTTAAACTCTAACTTTTTCACCCAGTGACTTAAGAAAACTTTCTAATTTACACACTCCCACTTTTAATTTTTCTATTTAACAGTTGTTTTCATGGTGTTATATAAAATCCAGTGTTTTCTTGGATGTCAGAGCCAGGTATCAGAGATAAGGGCACACTCTGTGCCTCAGACTCCAACATAACCCAACAGGACCATCCCACCCCGTGCCGGTGTATGAGCGGGTTCCTATTACGCGTGTGTCGCGCATGTCTCGTGCCACGGGGTGAGGAGCAGAGCAGGAGCAGCGTGGAAATCCCTCTGGAGGAGGGGTTTCTGCTGGGAGGCGCCACAGCGCTCCTGGGGAGGATCAGATTGGCGTGTCGCTTTGAGGCACGCCGTGGTTTGAGGATGTCTGCAGGGAGGTATCAGTGATGGAGGCAGTTTGGCTGATAACGTGTCAGTCTCGCAGCCGTGGGATCTCTGCCAGGCTGGCGGCAGAGTCACTCCGGGAAGGTGAAGGAGATAAAGCCAACGATGCTGTAGGATAGGAATGAAGTCCCATGAGCATGTCTCTCCTTCAGATCCCTCACAGTGCTCGAGAAAGGGGGAGCAAGGCAGTGCCCAGGGAGTTGGTGGTGGTTAAATACATCCTTCCCACACTGTGCTTTCGACGGAATAAACACCTCTTTCTCAAGACCACACTTCAGTGGATCATCTCCCCACGTTGGGTCTGTACCCTGGCAGAGTTTAACTAGCTGTCGCTTTTCCCACGCTCAACCAAAGGGAATTTCTCTCAGCTGGAAAAAGAAAAGAAATAAAAGCCAAAAACTAGGAGGAAAATGAGGGGGAAGTGTTTTGTGACAGCACTTGAGGAACAAGAGCCGTGAGAAGGCAGAACCAGAGCGAGTGTGGAGGGAGGTAATTTTTTTTTCATCGTTTGGTTGTTGGTTTTTAATAAAGAAGTCAAACTCGGCTTGTAGATTTCCCATTAGGGGACAATACGCTTTTGTAGAGGGAGTCGCCGAGTCAGAACTAATAGTGCGCACCGCGCCAGGATCTCGGGAAATAGCTCCACTAATAAGTTTCTGCCTCACTCCCTGCCACTGACGCCCTGCTCAGAGCGATGAGCCGGCGACTCACGGCAGGCCTGTGCCTGGAGGAGAGGGGTTGTGTGCTTAGCGTGAGCAGCTGCCACTCCCAGCATCCTTGGAGATGGCAGGGAGTGGTAGGAAAAGGGGGATCAGCTTCAAACTGGAGGAGAGGGGAGGTTCAGGTTGGATGTTGGGAAGGAATTGCTCCCTGTGAGGGTGGTGAGGTGCTGGCACAGGGTGCCCAGAGCAGCTGTGGCTGCCCCTGGATCCCTGGAAGTGTCCACAGCCAGGTTGGATGGGGCTGGGAGCAACCTGGGGTGGTGGAAGGTGTCCTTGCCCATGACAAGGGGTGGGAACTGTCTGAGCTTCGATGTCCCTTCCAACCCAATCCACTCTGAGATTCTATGATACAATGGCTGTCTGAGGGTGAAGCTGTAGGGAGGAGGGCTGAGGGTCAGGAGAACACAGGAAGCTGGTTTTAGCTGGTTAGGTGGATAATGTCTTCAATGGGAGTGGAAGAGTGCCGGGTTCTGTCTGGCGTCGCTGCAGGTGCCTTGGAGAGCTTTGGGGCTCCTGTGGCTGAAGTGGGAAATGTCCTTCTCGAGTAAAAGGCAGGTGCAGGCCAGCTCTGGCCAGATGGAGAGCCAGCCAGAAGCAAACCCTGCCTCCTTGGGACCAGGCTTGCCGGGCCGTGGCTTTGCTAAGCATGGCCTGATGATCTCAGGAACATTAATGACACAACACAGCATCTGCTCTGGCTCATGTCCACCCAGCTGGAGCCCCAGCTCAGCCCCATCCAGCTGCATGTAGATGCACACTAAGCCTCTCCATTGCCTTTAGCCTGCCCAGACCTCCTGGGTTTGCCCTGGATGAACCCCACCAACCCCTGGGAGGAGGAGGAGGGGGGATGGTGAGAACATCACTGGGACAGGCAACAAGTTTCTCATTGCTCTCGGAGGAGACGCCGGGAAAGCTGAGTGACTCAAAGGCTGATTAAAGACCACCTGCTTACAGAAACTAAAGCAGGGACTGGCAATTTAATTGCAGCACGATGGGCATCGTTGGCACCTGAAATTGCTTCAAATCTCAAGTTCAGTGGGCTGAGCCTGCAGGTCCCTCAATAGTCTCTGGGTAGAAAATATCTCCAGAGCAGCCCTAGGGAAATGGAGAGGTCCATAACGGTGTTTTAATGTCCTGGCAGCTCTGTCCTTCCCTCCAAAGGCAGTTGGGTTTGGTTCATTTAAGGCAGATTCGTAACAATATTTAAACAGCATTTAAAGCCCCCTTGGGGAGCTTTAAACCAGTCCAAAATCTGTTTTTAGGGATGTTGTGAGCAACTGTCCCTGCCTGGTTTCCCCAGGATGGCCATAGTCCCTGGCAAAGAAAGGCTTGGAGGGAACACATGGGGATGCAAACCAGCTTCCCCCCAAAAAATGCTATGGCTGCCCTGTGTGCAAACACCCACAACATCCCTCCTCTGCAAGGAAGGCATCCAAAGCTCAGCAGCCCCCCGGCCACTCCAGTTTGCCTCATGACCTTGCGGCCGGGATGAGCTGGGACACTAAGCCAGCCCTGTACTGCCCAGGGAGGGAGGATCGGGTCTGTGCACGGTGCTGTGCTGCTCCATGGGGTGCCTGAGGCTTCCCAGGCTTGTGGTAGAGTCAGGAACAGAGAAACCCTTTGCTCAGCTTCCCACGGCCGCCTTCCCCTCTCTGGCATCGTAAACTGGTCACGCCTTGAGATGCAGTCGCCCAGGAGCATCCCCCTACCAGACTTTTGCAGCTGCTTGACCATTTTGCCTCTTTCCCAAGCAGCCTTCTCTTTGCTTCAGGATGAAAATGACAATCCCCCCACCTTCAGCAAGCCCTCCTACGTGATAGCCATCATGGAGGACATTATGGCAGGTACGGGGCACGTCCCTGCTCCTTCTCTGGGCTCCCAGGAGAGCCCTGGGGATTTTACACCCAGAATGGGGTGGGTGATCCTTTTTGGGGAGGTGAAGCCTGGTAAAGTCTCATAGCTGTGGGGCCTGGGGGTTTGGGCACGGTGCGTATGTGCGGAGAAGGGACCCCTTGGCTGAGTGACCTGCAGGAGCAGTGTGGGGGCACAGGGCAGTCCTGGCTCATCCCAGTCCTCATTTCTGCCTCCCCCAAGGAGCCACAGTGCTGTTTCTCAATGCCACGGACATGGACAAGTCCAGGGAGTACGGGCAGGAGTCAATCATCTACTCCCTGGAAGGCTCCTCGCATTTTCGCATCAATGCTCGCTCAGGTGAGCCTCCGGCCGTGCTCTGCCCTTTTCCTTTCAGTTCCCTCTTTCAGCCCCACCCTTTCCTCCTCTCCTGCAATCAGCCTGCTTAGGAGTCCCAGGATTTTAAGGGATTGACCAGATTTCAGATACCACCCCTTGCTCCGTCACCCTGAGAGCGTCAGCAGAGGCATCCGTGTAAACTCAGCTCCTCAACCTAAGGAAAGGCTTGCCTGTGAAGGTTCCTGTTACTTAAGGAGCTGCCAAGGTCCATCTATTTGGATCCAAAAGAAAGGGGCCCATTTGTGGATTATCCTGACCTTGGTTTTAAGTGTTTATTTTTTAACCTTGCCGTCTCCTGTGGCTGCAGGAGAAATCACAACAACATCTTTGCTGGACCGGGAGGCCAAATCCGAGTACATCCTCATTGTCCGGGCAGTGGACGGAGGCGTGGGGCACCATCAGAAAACAGGCATTGCTATGGTGAGTGTGGGAAGAATTCCCATCTCCCTGAGCCAGTGGTGCCCACCTGGGGCTGGGACTGTGGAGGGCTGCAGAGTTTCATTTTCGCTGGGTGAAGAGCACTCCGTGGCTCCTGCCCTCTGCGCTGCCCCTGCTGCTGCTCCCAGAATGACTGTCCAGGTGGTGTAGAGCTGGAAATCAGCTTGCTTTCCTGGAAAACCACTCACACAGGAGCCACTTGACTTTCCAGAGCCTGTGGATGTGGTAATGAGTCCCATTTCACCTGCAGAACGCTCTCTTTGTTCGGCTCCCTCTGTTCCTCTTGAGAAGGGGCTTACTCAGAGAGCCTGCAGGTACACGTGATTATTCCTTAGTCTTTTCACATGCTGCCTGGGTCAAGGGTTTCCAGCCACTCTGGAATGCCTGTGCTCCTGGGAAGGTTCTGGTGGAGCTGCAGGTTGAAGGCTTGGGCTTTGCCTTGCTCTTTTCAGGCCTCAGGGAACCCCACTGTCGGCAAAGCCAACAGGAAATATCAAAAGATCAAAAGCCAAGGATGCATCCTTGATGGACTTGATGACCTTAAAGGGCTTTTGCAACCTCAACTATTCCGTGATTCTCTCTCTCACTGCTGGTGGCATCACATTTCTTTGGACATTTCATTATTTTGGATGCTCCTGTTCCCCGGATGCTCAGTTGGGTTGCAGGAGAGATGTCCCACACAAGGACAGATGCAGAAAAAATTGTGGTTGTGCTGAGGAATAGCCCAAAAATAATTGTCCCTCCTGCTGAGGGCCATCGGGAGATCTGTGGCAGAGGACTGATGGAACCTCCCAGAGATATGTGGTAGCCTTGGCCAGGCACCAGCATTGGCCTGTGGAATGCTGAGATCTCCTCTGGGGCTCCAGATGGGATTGTGTTGTCCTAATACCCTTCTTAAAAGGCAAAACAAGGGGGGAAAAGATGATCCCTGATCCCTAAAAAAGTTAAAGAATATTAAAGCTCAGTGAGACTAGGGCAGCTGAGTAAGTTTGTCTGCTGGGTTATACAGCTGGCACTCAAAATAATCATTTTTGACCGGGAATAAAGGCCCATTCAGGGGCCTTGCAGGCTGATGTAAGGCACATGGGCTGCTCAGAGTGGGTCAGCACTTCCCCAGGGACCACCGTGGGGAAGACTGGCCTCTTCTACCACGGGGTGGCACCAGCAGCTCAGCCTGGTGTGACAGCGGGACACAGTGGTGTGGGAGCAGAGGAGATCCCAGGAAAAGCCCCACCAGGACCTGCTGAGGGGTGGCAGCTGCCAGGGGTTCCCCTGGAGCTGCAGCCCTTTCCCTCAGACACCTGCAGAGCCCCACAGGCTGGGGAGAAATGGGTTCTGTGGGGAGGTGAGGGACACCCAGGCAGCAGGATGTATCCCACAGGCTGGCTGCTGTCACTGGGATGCCATTTGTCACACTGAAGATGAAGGCAGGTAACACTTCAGGGCACCATCCTCACCCCTGCTCTTGTCTTTGCACCTCCCACCCCCTGTTACCATACTCCCTCCTTATTTATTTTTGGGGTTTTTTGTCTGTTGCTTTTTACCTGTCACTCGTATTTTTCCTTCCTTTCCTGCCACATTCCCGGTGCATCCTCTGTCCCACTGATTTTCACCCCCTCTTCCAGTGAGGGAGCTGCTTGAAGACACACCTTGTGCCCTGTGGTTGTTCCTAAGTGTGATAAACACACAGGAGCAAAACCCAGTTCAGCTATGCCAAGGAGCCTTGGCCGCGAACCCTCAGGATGTCGATTATTTTTGCAGGTTTTCCCTCCAGAAACACAGAATCACAAAACCCATGGAATAACTCAGGCTGGAAAAGGTCTCTGAGAGGACCAGCCCAGCACTAACCCACATCCCCAAGTGCCACAAGTACACATCTTCTAAATCCCCTGAGGGACAGTGACTCTGCCACTGCCTGAACCACGTGTGGGCTACATCCAGGGGACATTCCGCACCTCAGGGGCCAATCTTCGCTTCCTTGCTCTCTGACAGGTGAACATCACGCTGCTGGACATCAATGACAACTACCCCACCTGGAAGGACGAGCCGTACTTCATTAACCTGGTGGAAATGACCCCCCCAAACTCGGACGTCACCACGGTACGTGTGAGGCGAGGCGATGGCTGTCCTGAAGGGTTGGCTGGAGCAGGGGGTCACCTCCAAACCGCTGTCACCTTCAGTCCAGCAGCATCTTGCAGAATTCCATTCAAAAGCCCACCATCCCCTGTGTTTCTTCTCCCTGGTGGGATTTTTTTTTTTTTTTTTCCTCCAAATTGTGTGGATTTTGGCCAAATCCTCCTTTTCTTAGCCTTGCCTGCGACCTCCTTCAAGGACCTCTCTGAAAGACTTTGATTTAGAGCCTTTCAAGTCCCTCTGGCGAAATAAAAGAGAAGAAGAGGGGGAGGCTTCTATTCCATCACGCCGAGAGAAAAATGACGGGAACAAAATGGAAAATAAATGAGGGAAAAACGAAGAGAATCCACAAAATCATATAGGGAAGAAGGCTGGGGAAAAGAAAAAAAGAAAAAAAAAAAAGAAAAAAAAAGGGAATTTTTTTTTTTTTAAGGGGGAGAAGGGTCTGGAAGTGCTGCCTGAGCCAGAGCACAGTGGTTTTGTCTCCTTCAGCCCTGCTGCTCAGCACCAGCTTGAAGTCATCTTGCCTTTGACAAGCGAATTAGTTGCTGGGAAAATAATTATTTTGTCACCGATCCGATGTAAATTCAGCTGCAGGACAAGCAGCAGGAGCTGCGAAAGTTATGAGGGCAATCAAATTGGGCTTTTTTTTAATGTAAATGTCCCCTGTAATTAAAAACGTCACAGGGAGAACAATAAAGCACAAAATATCTGGCGTGGAGGAGAACTCCACCAAGGAATTATTCCCAGCATTCCTGATGTGGCAGCACAAGTTCCTCATCCTGCCTCTTTGTACCATTCACTTTATTTTTCCAATGGGCCCTTGATTTTTAGCTGGTTTCATTCAAAAGGAGGAAAACCCAGTTTGGCTGCCGCGTGTTTGTGTCTTGTCACGCCATTACCTCCTGTGCTCACAGGCCAGTTTTGGGGAGATTTAACACCACAGCAAATGTCTCGAGGGTGCAAACTCCCTGCAAATGTCATGAAAATACGGAGCTGGATGGAGGAAGAACTTCTTGCTGCTGCTGGTGCAGGGAGGCCGATCAAATCTCCGCGGGGACTCCCCACGGGAGTTGATTCCCAGCGCTCTCCTGTAATTTTGTGCTGTTCTCCCACGGCAGGTGGTGGCTGTAGACCCAGACCTGGGGGAGAACGGCACGGTGGTGTACAGCATCCGGCCTCCCAACAAGTTCTACAGCCTCAACAGCACCACGGGCAAGATCCGCACCTCGGGCGTGCTGCTGGACCGGGAGAATCCCAACCCCCAGGAGGCCCAGCTCATGCGCAGGATCGTGGTGTCCGTCACCGACTGTAAGCTTCTGTCCCACACTGACTGCTTTCACTGTGGAGCTGGACCTTCCCCAGCCCGATTTTGCCTTTATGACAAAGTCTCTTCTATTTTCTTCTCTCCCGTTGTGAGCAGGAGTGTTTCTGAGGTCAAAAAAACGGGAGTAGCTTTAAACCTGCTGCTAAAACAAGCTAGGAACCCCTCGAAATGTGAGCGCAGTCATTCATGTAGCAGCCCTGAGAATGAGCCTGAGAGGCAGGAACTCTCCCTCCCCTCAGCCTTGCTCCACTGGCATCCCAGAAAATCAATTGAGCAGGTGAGGGAAACAGAGCTGATGGGCTTTTCTCTGGAAATATTGAAGTAGGGAAACTTTCCTTAGGGAAAAAAAAGGTAGATATACAAAGATAATTCTTTATTCTCAGGACAAAGGGGAATAAACCAAAAGAGGAGACAATGAGATCAGGTGTTGGGAGGAAATTCTTTACTAAGAAGGTGGTGGAACAGGTTGCCCAGAGAAGCTGTGTCTGCTCTAAGCCTGGAAGTGTCTCAGGCCAGTTTGGATGGGGCTTGGAGCAACCTCGTCTAGTGGAAGGTGTCCCTGCCTGTGGCAGAGGGCTGGAATTAGATTATCTGTAAGGTCCCTTCTAACCCAAACCATTCTAGAATTCTAATTGTCCACCCGTGGCAGACCATCCACGACAAATCAGGGCCATCACCCCATCCTGCACTGCTGTCTGTGTAGGGGGTGAGGGCTCCCTTTTATGGGAAAGGGGTGGAAACAGCTCAACCTTGAGACCCCATTCCTGGCCTCCACAGGTGGGAGGCCGCCCCTGAGAGCCACCAGCAGCGCCACAGTTTTTGTCAACCTGCTGGACCTGAACGACAATGACCCCACTTTTCAAAACCTGCCCTCTGTTGCTGAGATCGCCGAGGGCCTTCCCGCGGGCTCCTCTGTCTTCCAGGTGAGCGTGTCCCACTGCTGCTGTTCCTCATGCCGGGAGCTGCTGCTGTCACTGCCACGGCTTCTGCAAAGCGGGCTAGCAACGCCTCCTCTCCCTTCTCTTCATCTTCTCCATCTCCTCCATCCTCTCCATCTCCTTCTCTTTGCCATGCTCTAGCAGAGGAACGGGGGGAATGCAGGAGGGGTTGTGCGTCTTTACTCCGTGGGCTCACTCCCGGTGGGGAGGGTCCTCAAAGGCCATTTCACCCCCACATCCCAAGGCACTTGGGATTTCTGTGCCGTGGCTCCCACGGGCAGGAGACCGTCAAGGTGCTCTCCCCACCAGGTCGTGGCCATCGACCTGGACGAGGGCCCCAACGGGCAGGTGTCGTACCGCATGCAGGTGGGCATGCCCCGCATGGATTTCCTCATCAACAGCACCGGCGGGCTGGTCACCTCCACGGCCGTGCTGGACAGGGAGAGGATCTCCGAGTACTTCCTGCGGGTGGTGGCCAGCGACGCCGGCGCGCCCGCCAAGAGCTCCACCAGCACCCTCACTGTCAAAGGTGGGTGCCCCGAGACCCCACGGTGACAAGGATGCCTCACTGGAGGAGGTGCAGCTCCTGCAGGAGACACACTGAGGCCTGGAAGCAGGATCAGGTCTGGCTTTGTGTACAGCAGGACGTAGGGACGGCTCCCATCCCCGCAGGCTCCGTGTCTGCGATCAGCACACTGCAGAGATGGGGAAAACCTGGTGTTTCTGGCAGGGCGCCCCAAATTCTCTGGGTTTTTGGGGTTTTTTTCTCCGTTCCCCCATCCCCAGTGTTGCTTTTTCTTTTGCTTCAGCACGTGACTCCCATCAGCTGCGTGCCTGGGCAGCCCACGCAATCCCAGTTCAGAGCTGGAGCCTTATTGCGTGGCCTGTCTTTAATTTAATGCCTCACTGTTCACTGGCTTCGTGCAAGTCTAGTGCTGAAAAAGGATAAGCATCATCTGGAAATAAACTGACCCTGGATTGTCCTCAAGCCTGAGTTTGGAAAATAACTTCCTGGTCCTGTACCTTCAGAGCTCTCTGCCACGCCCCAAGAAATACTGAGTTTATATTTAAGCCCCGGGTTTTCCTTTGGATGGGGATGGAAACAGACTTGGTGAACTTGAATTTCAGTGATGTAATGGTTTTTTGGCTGTGAGGAGGGTGACCCGTGTGAGGGTGACCTACAGCCACTCCACAGGCACCTCCAGTGCACAAATGTCAGGGAGTGTCGGGCAGAGCATCCCCTGGGATGCTGAGAGAAGCAGGCGGGAGGTTTGGGAGCCCAGCCTGGCATCTGCAGGAGGGGCAGCCCTGGCAGCACACTCAGCTCTGCTCCCCCTTTTCAGTTCTGGACGTGAACGATGAGAACCCCACCTTCTTCCCCTCCGTCTACAACGTGTCCCTGCCCGAGGACGTGGCCCGGGATTTCAAAGTGGTCCGGCTCAACTGCACGGATGCCGACATCGGGCTGAACGCTGAGCTCAGCTACTTCATCACAGGTGTGAGCCCCATGCAGAGCGGGAACTTTGGTTGCACAGGATGCCCCAGACCTCGGCCAGGGTGTTCTGCACTTCAGCGCTGCCTTTCCCAGCCCCTCCAAACCTTGTCCGGCATCGCCCTCTGCTGAGCAGCCCCGCTTGGCTCCCGGCCATGCTGACCACTCTGCTGACCCCCCGGCATCCCTAGGAAAGCATGAGGATGGGCAGAACACGGCTAGGGAGCAGGGGCTGGGGTGGCTTTCGTGGGTGTTTATGGTTGGAAGCCATAAATGGAGTTTTGGGGCATTTTCATAGCCCTGTGGGCAGGTGGGGTTGGGCGGGCAGCCCCCAGCTCGCTCCGCAGCTGCAGCACCCCGCAGCAGGAGCCTGGGGAATCCCCTGGCCACGGTTTGACTTGCAAACTGCACACTGAGCCCTCAGGAAGAGGGTGAAAACAGAAGTGTCACCAGAGAGTCATTTTTCCCACAGCAGCAGCCTGCCATCTCATGTAGCGGCCCCTCCGGCCTCTCCGCGAGTGAAACGGGGCGTGTTGTCCCACAGCTACCACGGCTCACGGGCACAGTTACCCCAGTTTGCCTCCACAGCATTCAGGAAATGATTCAGCTTTTCCCACAGCCATTGGATTTTTCCTGTGAGGCAGAGGGAAGGCACTCTGCCAGGGACAAGATACGAAACCATCCTCGCACGGCTGGGCTGACCCCGTACCCAGGCCACAGAATCCAACAAAGTGGGCTCAAGCTGCAGCAGGGAAGGTTCAGATTAGACACTGGGAAAATATCTTTACTGAAAGGATAGCCAGGCACTGGGACAGACTGTCCAGGGAAACAGTGGATGCTTCATCCCTGGAGGTGCTAAAGGTCAGGCGAGACAGGGCTTGGAGCAGCCTGGTCTAGTGTGTGTCCCTGCCCGTGGCAAGGTGCTGGAAGAAGATGACCTTTAAGGCCCCTCCCAACCCAACCCAAACCATTCCAAGTTTCTATCCTACTCGTCCTTCTCTGCAGGTGGGAACCAGGATGGCAAATTCAGCGTCGGCTTCAGGGACGGGGTGGTCAGGACAGTCGTGAGTCTGGACAGGGAGACCGTGGCGTCCTACACGCTGATCCTGGAGGCCATCGGTAAGGATTTCCCAGGGATGGATCCCATGGGACCACTGCCACACAGCCACGTGTGGTGGCTGTGCAGGTGTTGAGCTCCCTTGCAGGCGTGCCAGAGCTCCGAGGCACCCTGCAAACCAGAGCCTGTGCCTGGAGTTAACATTACACAGCCCGTGTGAATTAAGACGTCCCGTCTCCGTCATCACTTCTGCAAGAGGGTATTTTCTCCTCTCGGGTTTGCCCAGCCCTAGGGCTCTCCCTTTCACCCAGGGAAGGAAGGCCTCCTGTTCCTGAGAGGCTCCACACTGTCCAGGGCAGCCCTCCACCCAAAAATGCCAATGCCACAGCATCGCTGCCCTCACACCATGCCAGCCCTTGGCTCTGTGGCTGCTGATTAACCCTGAGCCACCTGGCACAGGCAGAGGGGTCCGTGTGCCAAACTCAGCTTGGCTGTCACCCCCAGAGCTTTATACTGATGTGCCTGTTCACAGATGACTTGGATGTCCCTTTGGAAAGGACATAATAAGTGGCCTGGACAGAAATGTTGGGGCATTGCAGGGGCTGCAGCAGGAGTGCTGCCCTGCCTGGGCACTCAGGACTGGGTCTCAAGGGGCAAAGGGTCCCCCTCCGGTGGGATCACACTGCCTGTGTTTTCCCAGATCCTCCCAGCTGGGTGGGTTTATCACTCCCTGCAAAACAGGCATGTTGAAAAATCCAACCCCAATCCACGCTTCCCAGTGCCTCATCCTTCCTGGCAAATCCAAGAGCCGTGCTGCCATGTCCTTGTCTATTGAACATCAACCCATCCTGGTGCTCTTTGGCTGTGAGCTATGGGCTGCTGCTATGGAAAACTCATCAGGCTGTCTTCATCTCCCAAATCCCTGGCCTCCAGCAGTCCCTTCATGTGGTGTATGGAATTGCAAATCCTCTCTAATGATCACTTGCATTTCTAGCCTCACTGGGCTCCACGGCAGAGGTTGGGGGTTGTTTGGCTTTTCCTTTTTCTTTCAAAACAGCAAGGGAGGAAAAAAAAAAAAACAAACCAAAAAAACTAAAAACCCATGGTTCAGTGTGGGATTTGAAAGCTGCAAAAAAGGTGAAATGTTTTACTTTAGAAATCTTTGATCCTGTTATTTCAGCGGCCACGGCCTGAGCACCACCTGCTCAAAGAGGAGGTGGCTGAACCTCCCTCCCTCCCTTTCCTCTCCCCACAGACAATGGCCCCACCGGGAACCGGCGCACCGGGACTGCCACCGTGTACGTGACTGTCCTGGATGTCAACGACAACAGGCCCATCTTCCTGCAGAGCAGCTATGAAGTCAGTGTCCCCGAGGACATCCCGGCTGCCAGCAGCATAGTGCAGGCACGTGGCCCTTCCCCGGGGAGCCTGGGGTGGGAGGCGGGAGTCCCCCGCTCACTGTGCCCTGACCGTGAGCTGCTGCAAGCGCAGGGAAGAGATTTTTCTCTCCTGTTCCCTCGGTGAGATGTGCTCTTGCTCATCCACTCCTCTGCTGTAGTCCAGGCTGTGAGTGCCAGGGAGAAGGCAGCAAAGAACAAGGGAAAATTAAGAAACTCACCCCATTTCTGCAGAGGGTGAGAGGAGAAGAGCCAAGCTCTGTGCTGGTCAGGCCGCTTTGGCTACATCCCTGCTTTCTCCCTCCTCCCAAACAGAGATCTCCATGGGGAGGGAGAAGAGTGCCTGCAAAGAGATGCTCAGAGAGGGGGGAAAACCCTCAGAGAGAGAGAAAAACATTTGGGCTTTGCTTTCATTTTTGTTCCTCTTTGAGGGAGCGGTGGGCAGAGCTGAATGGCTCAGTGAGCACCGAATGAATGCGGGCATTCACACAGGCTCCGGGGCCTTCCAGCATCCCTTCAAACCCAGGGCTCTTCTGGAGCAGGCACCAAAGGCTCTTTGCAGAGGGCCCTGGGAAGGCTCCTCCTGTCTTCAATACCTCTGCCGGCACGGGGAAAGGGGCAGCTTTGTCCCTGGCTGCGGAGGGCAGGATGAGTCACCGGCAGAGAAGAAAGGAGCCTTTTGCCTCCTGCAACAAAGGTTTGCTGGGAGCCGCGTGTCTGCTCCACAAGGAATCCTGTGGTTCCCCGTCACCTGTTGTGCCATGGCACGGTGTACCTGATGTCTCTGGGATCAGACATCAGTCTGCAGTCCCAGGATGGAGCTGTGTCCCTGCACAGGACTCCTAAAATTGAGCCGGTTTGGCAAATTGGAGGAATGGAGGGAACTCGAGTCTGACTGGCTCAAAGTGTCTTTTTCCTAGAACCTGCTTCCCAAAAGAGGGGGGTGCCCTTGGAAGTCCAGGGCAAAAGAGAGGAAGTAATGGTGGGAAGATGTTTTTCTACAGAACAGCATGGAAGAGAAACAGAAATGAGCCATCACCCGGCTTTGGTTTAATTTACACCTTCAGTGTGAACCATTTGTAGAGGAGGCCCCTTCCAATGGATCCCCACATCCCCAGGGCAGCAAGAGAGTCTCTGAATGTTTCCCCATCCCTTTCTCCCAAAACCAGGCAGACCAGGGCCAGAGAGCAGGAATGGGACTGCATTGACCACAGCAATCCACAGCCCCTGGCATGGAGAGGGGTGACAGGGACCGGGCAGCACGTGGGGGTACGAGCCTCCCTCCAGCTGCTCCGGGGGGGAAACCTCCACCGAGGTGGAGCAGGTTTACCCTGGGCTGCCTCTCTTCAGGTAGCCAGGTTGCTCCCACTCTCTTCCAGGCTGCTTGTTCAGGTGGAGCACAACTTGCACAATGTTTTCCAAAAGAAATGAAGCAGCAAGGATTTTTTTTTTTTGGATGGCCGGTGGTAGCTGCGCGTGGGTGCAGTTTGGATGCCTCCACCTTCCCTGGCAGGAAGCAGTAACCTGGAAAGCATTTGGGAACCTGACGTTGCAAAATCTCCTCACAGAGCTACTGCCTGGAAATGAGTTGCTCAAAGGGTCTCTGCTGGGTTGTGCAGGATACGAAGGGGTGCTTGAGAAGGGAGCCAAAAGCCTGGGAAAGAGCAGCAGGGCAGGATCACATTTTGGTGGACTCCATGACGTCCCAGTCCTGGCTGGTGGAGAAGCTTCTGGGATGGGTGAGCGGGCTCTGAGACAGCAGCTGGCTCCTCCTGAAGCTGCTGATGGAGCACCTCAGGGAGCCCAGACGCTTCCAGAGCCTCAGCTGGGGCTCGCTGGCATCCACGGGGTGGTGGGGCAGGCACTCCTGGGGGCCGGAGAGGGACCGGCCCAGCGCGGCTGGCTTGCAGAGGGTGACAAAGATGAGGAGGGTGGCCAGGACCAGGAAGATGCAGGCGAGCCCGACGATGATGGGCAGCCAGTCTGTCACCTCAGGGGACGCGGCGCTGGGTGGGACCGGCTCCGTGATGGGAACCAGAAGCCCAGGGAGAGGCGGGGTGGGAGAGGTCCCATTGCCAGAGTCCTCTGTGCTCATCTTCCCTGCAGTGCAAGGCGACACACAGAAGTGGCACAGGTGATTACCACGTGGGAGTTGGACAGACAGCCACCCTCTGGTTAAACTGAGGGGTTCTCATCACGCCTTGGTGTCCAAAATCCTCCCAGCCGTGTTCTCAGTGGCACAGGGGGACAGGAGGTGCCCATCTGGTGTCCCCCACAGAGGTGGGGCTTACACTTGCAAAACATCACCCTGAACCGAAGTGCAAAACCACCTGGCAAAGATATCTGCACTATTTACGTGTGCTACCGTGGCCCCTGGAGGGATGCTTTTAGGGAGCACACTCACATTCCATGAAGATTTTCTGGAAGAGATAAACATCCATGTACTACAGAAAGTTCAAAACCCTCCCCCCAAGCTGCTGAGGTTTGGCTCTCCTCTGTTCCCCAGAAATGCAGAATGAATTGAATTGGCTGTCATTTGGGGGTTTTGTGATTATTCTCCCAAAGAAATCGGACAGCTGTCTGAGCCTGTGCCCTGGTAAGTCCCCTTCAAGCTGTGTTATCGTATTAGCACTGTCTTTATGATTTTGCAGGGGTGAAGAGCAACACCCTCACCCTACTCGTGCCAAAAAGCCTCATGTCAGGCATTTTGCTGACCTGCTTTCAGGCTCAGACATGTCACAGGTGATGCAAACCAGCTTCCCAAAGCATTTGCAGCAATAGCTCTTGCCTAACACCTGGTGGAGACTGTTCTCTCCTTTCCCCAATGGGTCAGATCCTCCCAAGAGCGTTTTTGCACCCACTTTTTTTTGCTCACATGCCCCCCTCCCCAGCCCCAGACAGTCTGGCAGCTCTCCAGGTGGAGATGAGGAGGTGAGGGTTGGGGAAATCCTGTTTGTGCCAACCCTCTGCAATGCCCTGTGTGCTGGAGGTAAAGCTTTCTTATGCTGATTTTCCTGTGGAGATGTGGGAGAGCTGTCTAACTGCTCTGTGGCTGGGCAACCTCCTGGTAAACCTGGATTTGGATTGAGACAATTTAAGATTTTAGGAAGGGATGCAGGGGCTGCCAGGGTCTCTGGGTCTGCTCTTGCAGCCCCCCATCCCAAAGCCACACAGCTGTGTGTAAGGCAGCAGCTGAATATTCACCACAAAACATTCCAAAAGTGGAGAGAAGACTTCAGTGGCGTGGTTTCAATCACTAAGGGCGTGTCAGCCTGCCCAGGGCTTGGGGGTCTTTGGGGAGATGCTGCTGTTTCCATGGGTCAGAGCCAGGTCTGTGCCTGGAAAGTGGGAAATGCAAAACCTCCGAGTGCCTTGCAGGCAGTCCCAGGGGCTGGGGCTCTTGTCACCTCCTCCACAGTGATGTTTTCACCTCTCTCCACCCCAGAAGCACTTTTTTATCCTTAGCTAGCTCCATCCCTTCCCCTCAGCTTTGGGAACAGAGCAGCAGTCCCAAGGACCCCTCGCTCCATGGACAGGCTCCTCTGTGCTGCCCAGGCACCAAAGCAGCAGGCAGGGCTGTGTCCCACACCAAAGGCAGCCTGAATCAAGGTTTCCACGGCTACCTTCGTGCTGGCATGTGTTCAGCGTGGTGACCTTACATTGTTCCTTAAGAGCCAGCCGGGAGGCGTGGACAATTCCTGCAAGGCTGTTTTTGCTCCCTTGCTCATGGCTGCAGAGTTGGTATTTAAATTCACTTGACAGTGTTCCATAGAAACCCATCAGGAGGGATCTCACTGATGTTTTCCCAGGCTTTTGCAGCCATTCCCTGTTCTCCTCTTGCTTCCCATCCAGCTTCTCCTCACACCCAGTAGAGCTTTCACAGCCCCTTCCCAGCATTACAGTCCCACCCAGGCTCCATATTCCTCACCCTGGTGGGTTAAAAGAGATTTTCCTGTCCTGGAAATCCTCCCCAGAGGTTCATCCCTGTCTGCTCAGCTCCAAATACGACACATCCCCACGAGCTCTAGGGCTCCAGCACTGGCCACCAGGCAGATGAGGTTCAGAGAGGGGGGGGAAAAAGAGAAATTGCAAAAGGAAAAACGCCCCTGAGAAAGGTGGAAAGGAAGCAAAAAAAAAAAAAGAAAAAAAGAATTCTTCTCATGCATGAGCAGCAGAGAGGGTTATTCTGCCCAGCACCAGGCACTGCTCCCTGGGCTGGCCCAGCTGCCTGGCTTGGCAGTTTTTCCACCTGCTCTCCCTCCCTTTCCTCAAACTCCTGCGAAGAAAAGGCTGTTTTCAGGCACTGCCTGTGACACAGCTCCCATGAAAAGCAGCTCTCATTCCCCTCCCCAGCTTGCTTAGCAACACTTTTCCTGGAGCTCCCCAACTTTTCCCGATGTGCTAAATCTTTCCAGCGGCTTGCAGGAGGAGGAGATGCCGGGCAGTACCAAACAGCCGGCTGGTTGGGTTCCCAGAGCTGTCAGGGATGCTGCTCCCCATCACCCTCGCTGTCAAACGCCAGAGCTGCATCCACAGGACCTTCCCCTCTCCCATCACCGGGAGAGACGGAGCAAGGCGACTGTGCAGGGAGGGAGGCTGCCTGACCTCACGCCCACCCCAAACTTTGCATCCCCACCCATGTTTAGCTTTTTCCCCAGGCTGAGGGCAGCAGCCAGGAGTCTGTCTCAGCCCTGGGGGTGGCCAAAGGGGCCGGCAGTGCCTTTGCCAAGGGGGTTTGGGCTCCCTACCTGTCACCAGCCGGGCTCTGCCTCCAGCACTGCTGCCTTGCCGCCTCTCCCACTGCCTCTGCCGGCTGCCAGCCCCCTCCTCCCTCTGCGGAGGGTGGCACAGAGGTGGCAGCCGGGCTGGGGACAGCCTGAGCCAGCAAAGCCAAGGGGCGCTGAGCCCCTTCCCGGGCTTTGCCAGCGCTGTGTCCTGCTGGAGCTGTGTCCCTTGCTGGGGTCGAGCCCCCTGGGATGTGTTTCCTCAGGATTTGTCCCTGTAGGGTGACTAAGTGGTACGGCCGAGGGGGTGGCACCTGCCTTCCACATGGCTGCTCCCCCTTTTCCCTGAAAATCTACTATTTTCCCATTCTTTTATTGCCCCTGCTCATCCTTTTCCAACACCTTTCCAGCAGCTGGGGCGGGGTTGGAAGGGGGCTGTGGCATGCTGGCTGTGCCACAGAGGGATAAAATGGGCTGGAGCTCAGCTCACTTGCACAAGGTGCTTTCCACCTGCAGCAGAAAGAGCTTTCCTCCCACTGCTTGCCCTGCAGTGCCACTGCTCTCCCGAGTTTGGGGCGCTCTGTCAAAGCACCACCTTTCCTTCGGCACCTCAGCAGGTCAATCCGGCAGCAGCCAGGCTTTCCTCAGGCTGCAGGCTGGCAGGAGAACACCTTGCCTTAATGCGATCAATTAATAAAATTAATTTATTCATTTTTATTAAAAAGCAAATGCCTGGGCTGACCCATATCACCTAGTTAATGAACCAGAGCTTCAGGCTGGGGGTGGGCTGGGAAGAAGATGCCCCAAGGGGTATTTGCAAGGTGCAGTTGGCTCATCCTGAAATGCAGCCTCCTGGGCACGACAGGGCAAGGAATGGCACAAAAAGCTGAAAAGATTTGCCTCCCATCCCTTCTTTTTTCCTCCTCTGGCTGCATGATAGCTTTTCCCTGTGCCATGGCAGGGCAGCTGGTCTGCCTGGGCATCGCTTGCCTGCTGCTGCGGGGCTCATCCATCCCACGGGAATGGAGACAGCCCAGCTCTGCCTCAGGGAGCCCAGCAGGTGAAAGAGCTGGTTTGGGAGGGAGAACTCCCCACCCTGAAAGGAAGTCCTTGGTGGACCGTGGAATGAGCCACAAGCAAGATATAAACTGGTCTGGGGCCAGGAAAACAGCATGTGTGGGTGCAGGGGTGAGAAATACAGAGCTCAGGAGTTTCCAAGTTTTCTGCTGATGCAGGGGGACTTGGTGGAAGGGAACAAGAGCAGTTCAAGGCACCTCAAAACCACCTTTCAGAGGAGCATCTCTGACTCCTGACACTGTTGTGGGGGGCTGGGGGTGAAAGCCCTCGCTGTTCCCACTACATGTGCATCCTTTGCAGCAACCTTCCCTCTCTCTGGTGTAAATCTGGGTGCAAACCTTCCCCGGGAAAAGGGAACTGCTGGCTAGTATTGTAGGGAGAAGATGAGGCAGAAGATGCCTTGCAGAGGGAAGCAGGGAGAGAACAAAGGCTCAGGCATTCCCTGTATCCTCGCCCCGGTGCTTTGTGAGCGGCCACGCTGCGATCAAGCTTTGTGTGTTTTGTGGGGAGTGGGTTTTTGCCGAGAGAAGTTGCAGGGGCTCGGTGCCAGCTGGACTGGAAGCCCTGGCCCTGCTGGGGACCGCCAGGTCCCGCTTCCCAGCTGCCGACTGTGGGCTGGGGCTGTAGGGAAAGCACTGCAGTCTTGTTCAGTGACACCAGAGGGGACCCGTGCCTTGGTTTTCCCAGGGCAGGCTCTGTGCCGGGGCTGTGCAGTGCATCAGAGCCGAGGGGTGCTCCCACCCCTGCCAGGAGCTCACAAGGGCACTCTAGGCTGGTTGCATTCACATTTCCTTTGGCAGTTTTTCCTTGTGCTGCTGCTTGGGTGACTCACCAGGATGCCGTGGGCTGCGTGCCCACCAGACACGGGAGCAGCTCCCCCTGCTCAGCTCCGTCCATCCCTGGTGGCATCGCCACCGGGACAAGCACTGGAACGCAGGGCAGGATTGATGGAGGAACCTCCTGCAGCACACAGAGCCCTGGGATTTGTGGTGTGATCCTGAGGCTCAGCTCCCACCTCAACCCAGCAGCCGAGCTCCTGAGCCCTGTCCCTGCTGTCCAGTGATGAGGGGAGGGGAACTTTGTTTTCTATTTGGTAAGCTGCCCAGCTCAGGTGGAGGAGAAGGATGTCCAGCTTTGGCAGGGTAGCAGGACTGGTCCTAGTCTGGAATTCTCTGCCCCTCACCTCTACTCCTCTGCTTTTCTCATGAAGGTGAAAGCCACCGACGCGGATGAAGGCATTAACGGGAGAGTGTGGTACAGGATTGTCAAGGGTAAGTCCAGCTGCCCCTTCACTCGTCAGGGAGTTTTTCCCAGGCTCGACCCAGCCTCAGGAGGTTGAGCTTGCCATCCTCTTGCACTTTGGAGCCCACAGAACCTTTTCTCCCAGCACTAAGCAAAATTCAGCTTTAGGGCTCGTTGCTGGAGAATGATTTGTCACGGACGGACACCTAGATAGAATCCTAAAATCACAGAATGGTTTGGGTTGGAAGAGACCTTAAAGTTCACCTCATTCTAACCCCCTTCTATGGACAGGAACACCTTCCACTATCCCAGGCTGCTCCAAGCTCCATCCAACCCGGCCTTGGACACTTCCAGGGATGGGGCAGCCACAATTGCTCTGGGCAGCCTGTGCCAGGGCCTCACCCCCCTCACAGAAACAATTTCCTTCCAGTATTCCATTTATCCCTGCCCTCTTTCAGTCTGAAGCCATTCCCTTGTCACTCCAGGCCCTTGTCCCAGGTCCCTCTCCAGCCCTCTTGGAGCCCCTTTTGGCGCTGGAAGGGGCTCTGAGGTCTCCCCCTCCAGGCTGAACGCCCCCAGCTCTCCCAGCCTGGCTCCAGAGCAGAGTCACTCCAGCCCTCGGAGCATCTTTGTGGCCTCCTCTGGACTCACTCCAACACATCCACATTTTTCTTAGCTGATGAGATTCTGTAGCTCCTCCTGGCCTGACTCAGGGCCAAACACTGATGTAGCTGAGTCTGGTGCAGCCAGAGGTGATGGGGCTGAAGTTTTGCTGAGTAATCTCCCTCCAATAAAGCCCCCCCAGGGAGGGCTCAGTGTGTCACCAGGATGGATGTCGAGGCAGTGGGCAACATCCCTCTTGTTTCTTCCCACCCCTCACCAGGAAACGAGCACAACCACTTCCGCATCAATCCCAGCACGGGGCTGGTGATGCGAGGTGTGCGGCACCTGGACAGGGAGCAGAACTCCTCCCACGTGCTGGAGGTGGAGGCCTACAACACGGAGCAGGGGCCCATGAGGAGCTCTGTGCGGGTAAGGACCTCGCAGCCACCGCAGGCTGCACGGCAGAGCCGTTCGCGCAAAACGCTTGGGGCGCTTGGCCCTTCCCAGCCCTTGTACAGGAAATCAGAAAGACCTGGCCTGAAGATGCTGATGGAAAGTCTCTGGGGCTTGCTCATGGGTAGAGAAGGGCTTGTTGCTGGGGGGGGGGGGGGGGTGGGTTTGTTTAATTTTTCTTTTTCTCCTGTGACCTTTTGGTGCCATTAGGCTGCTGGGTGGTGCAGCAGTCGCTCAGAGGGAGTCCTACTCACTCGGTGAGATGAGGCTCCACTGCTGGGAAGAAAAGCTGAGCCTCAGCCTGTTGAAGACCTGTGTGTCCTGGCCAGGCACTATTTAAATAATCCAGGACCTAGTGGTGGCAGTCTTCAGCTGCAGCACTCCAGCTTCCCACGGTTCCCACAAACCCAGCCCTGCAGTTGCGTCTATTCTTAGACCCAGTGGTGGGGTGGGCTCTGGCTGGGTGTGAAGTGCCCCCAGCACCAGCAGCAGGCAGAAAACCAGGAGAAGGAAATGTGTTCCCTGGGGAAACAGCACTGAACTTGGAGCATAAGTTTCCCACCGAGTTGCCAGCGTTTCTGTGTTGCGAGGTCTCCAAGGGTTTGGCCAGGGGATCCCAGAGGATGGGGGAATTAATGTAGCCAGTGTACCTCCCCCCCAGCAGGGAAAGACTGACTCACTCCAACCCGCAGGGCTTGCTTGGATCCGCGATGTTAAACCGCTTGTGTTCACTGTCCATCGCGCGGTGTTTGAAGAAATTGCCACAGGATCATGGAATGGCTTGAGTTGGAAGGGACCTTAAATCTGCCCTAGTTCCAACCCCCCTGCCATTGTCAGGGCCACCTCCACCCGCCCAGGTTGCTCCAAGCCCTGTCCAGCCTGGCTTTGAGCACGCTGGAAGGCTTTCTCCGTGAGCACCACAAAGGGTTTGTTTCCCAAGCTCTCCCAGCTCACGCGCTGTTTCTCCGGGGCTTCCCAGGTGATCGTGTACGTGGAGGACGTCAACGACGAGGTGCCGGTGTTCACCCAGCGCCAGTACAACCGCCTGGGGCTGCGGGAGACAGCGGGAATAGGGACCTCGGTGGCAGTGGTCCGGGCCACCGACCGAGACACAGGTGGGAAGGGCGGGGTGAGGGACACCCAGTGTGGGGGAGAGCGGTGAGATCAGCCGGATCGCGGCTTGGCTGGGCTGAAATCCCGTGGGATGGGCTCTGCTGGGGGCAGGCATCAGTGGTGCCTGCCTCTCCGGGGTGGTTGGTTCAGCCACGGCTCCTGCTCCCTCCCCAGGGAAAGGGGGCCTGGTGAGCTACAAAATCGTGTCGGGCGCGGAAGGGAAGTTCGAGATCGACGAAAGCACGGGCCTCATCACGACCATAGAGTACCTGGACTACGAGACCAAAACCAGCTACCTGATGAACGTCTCTGCCACGGACCAGGCGCCCCCCAACAACCAGGGCTTCTGCAGCGTGTACGTCAGCCTGCTGAACGAGCTGGACGAGGCCGTGCAGTTCTCCAACAGCAGCTACGAGGCCGTGATCATGGAGAACATCCCCCTGGGCTCTGAGGTGCTCCGTGTCCAGGCTCGCTCCATCGACAACCTCAACCAGATCACCTACAAGTTTGACCCCAACACCAACCCCCAAGCGCTCTCCCTCTTCAAAATCAATGGGGTCACGGTAAGCAGACGCAGCGTGGTCCCTCCTGGCTTGCTTGGGCACTGTGAGCTTTGGTTTTGGTGGCCCACACAGCTGTTGCTCGTGCTTGGCAGGGTGTGATCACGGTCAAAGGCCAGGTGGACCGAGAGAAAGGGGATTTCTACACTATGACAGTGGTGGCTGATGATGGAGGACCGAAGATTGACTCCACAGTGGTGAGTAGCTTTTCCCAGCTTCCCCACTGTCAACCTCAGGTCACCTCCCTCTCCCACCTCAGGCTCAGCCTGTCCTAGCTGAGCTTTCTGCTCCAGCTTCCCGGGTTGGGAAACCCTAATCTGGGGGAAAACCTGCTAAAACAGTTTTGAAGGAGGTGAATTTAGGGGCCTTGAAATGCTCCTCGGTGGTTTATGTTTCAGAGGGTTATATTTAGCAGTTTCACAGGCAGCCAGGCGGGGGGTGATTTGCATTTCTCTGCTGAGTGCAGGCCCAGCCCACGAGTGCAATGGCTCTGCTCTCCACACCGTGCTCTTGTCTGAACCTCTCCCAGGACGAGGGGCAGATACGCCAACCTTAGCTAGAAAAAAACACAGGGATGCCCCAAAGGTGGAGCTGCCAAATTGCTGTAGAGGGATACCCATGACCCCTGGCACTGCTGTGGTAGGATGCAGGGTTAACCCACACTTCCTCATCCCTCACTAACTCCTCATTGTTTGTGTCCTCTGTTTCTCCCTCTGCTTTCCTCCAACAGAAGGTAAGCGTGTCCATCGTGCTGAGGACCAGAATCCCTCCCAAGATCCACATGGAGCTGCAGGGAAGGACTGGGGTGGAGGTCTGCAGCGCTGTCCCACCAGCACCAGCCTCTGTGCCACCCCCAGGACGTGGGGCAGCCCTGGGAGCCGCCCTGCTGCTGGCAAGCAGAATCCCAGCTCCCTGCTCCGGCACTTGGGACAGCAGCTGCCGGATCTGCCGCAGAGGCTGAATGAGCTCTCCCTGCTCTTGGCTCTGTGTTTTGAATTCAGCAGCAACAATAACTGAATCACCCCAGGGCGCACAACTCGCTCCCCAGCTTCCTCCCGGGATGTTGTCGCATTCAGCCTGGCCGCACCTGGGAGCTTGGGGCACCCGTAAATAAATCCCCGGGAACAGAAAGGCTCTTCCTCTCTCATTTCTGTGTTGCCCTGCAGCACTTTGATTGCAAACTCGATGAGAGCATTTCCTCTGCCTAATTGTGGCCAAGGTAGCCGGGTCCCCTTCGAGCATCTCGTGCTCATGTGCCTTTTTCCCGGAGGGAGCTCAGGTCTCCTCCTCCACACCCAGCTTGCCCTGGTTGAGTTGAACACACTCAGCTCTGCCTTCTTTGTGCCCGTTAAAGCAAATCCTGCTGCTGTGAGCATGGATGAAATCACTGCTAGGGAAAAGTTTAGCAGGAAAGGGTCACCCTGCAGCAGCCCGAGCTGCCCCGTGCCCGACTACTTGGAGGATAGAAATCAGAAGATGCTCCACAAAAAACACACACTGCTTGGGAGATGCAGCAGCCTTGCACTGTTTTTGCAGCCTCCAAGCATCCCTCCTCGTCCTCCTCCTTTGCAGGCAGGGATGTAACTTCAGCTCCTGGGCTCAAGCAGCTGCCTGATTCCCACGGGTGGATGGATGGCACGCTGTTGGCACCTCAGAGGGGTGTGGTGTGTTGGTGGCGTGCCGGGGTGCCAGGGTGGCTGTCGATGCTGGGTGGGCAGGGGTCTGCCCCATGCCCTGAGCCCTGTGTCCCCCTCACAGGTGACCATCACGGTCCTGGACGAGAACGACAACAGCCCCCAGTTCGACATCACCTCTGACTCGTCTGTCAGCGTGGCTGAGGACATCGCCGTGGGCAAGAGGGTGGCCCTGGTCCTGGCCCGAGATCCAGATGCAGGCAGGAACGGCCAGGTAGGGAGGGAGACATTTGGATGATGCTCTCAGGCACGTGGTGTGATTCCTGGGCTTTTCTTGTGCAGGGCCAGGAGATGGACTCAATGATCCTTGTCCCTTCCAACTTCTTTGAGGCTGTGTGTCATGTTTCACTGACACAGAAATCCCCCTGCCAGCGTCCTCCCAACCCCTTCCCTGTGCATCCCTGCTCCCTGTGAGAGCAAACTCTGGTTGTTAATGCCAGTGGTTTTGGGGGGGTTATGAAGTGAGTGCCAGGAGGGGGAAAGCATCGTCCTTGGGCTATCTGGGGCAAAGAGCTCTGTGGGACAAGTGTCAAAAGGAGCCCTGCAATCTGAAAACCAGCTGTGGCCTCTCCCGCCATGCAGGCCAGCAGCAAAGTCCTTGGCGGGCTGAGCAGGAAGCTCTCTGACATTTGTTATTTTCATTACCCTGCAAACGAGCATTAATGAGGTCCCATCACCCTTAATAACAAAAATTGCTGGCAGCATGGGAGCTGCCAGGGGGTTGGCCCTGTTTGCTTTGGGGTGGCTGCAACAAGCCAGCACACCTGCGGATCCCTCTGCATCGGACTTTTTCCAAAGCTGAGACATCTTAGGGGGGGATGCTGGATTTATTTTTGTAGGGTCTCCTTTCTCTTCCTCCTCCTCAGCATCACTCTGCCTGCCCTGGTTTTTATTCCCTGCGATGTTTCCAGGTGACTTTCTCGCTGACGTCGGGGAACATCGGCCGGGCTTTTGAGATCCGTACCACCAACAACACCTACGGCGAGGTGTTTGTGGCGCGGCCGCTGGACCGGGAGCTGCTGGACCACTACACCTTACGGGTCAGCACCAAACCACCCCCACTAGCCCCCTGGGCTTCTGGTTTGAGCACTGAGGCTGTTTGCTTGGAGCTGTCAGCTTCAAGACAGAGCTTTTTTCCCCCTTGAAAATCCACCCCCCCC